TGTTCTCTGCTCCCAAGATATGTAACTGTTCGGGATTCCAAGGAGGAGATGAAAACAGGCGGGGGTATGGGGGTGCTCCCCCAGAAAATTTCGAAAATGTAGATCGCAGGAGATGGTATTTGAGGCACGTTTGAGTACATGTACAGCCTTCATTCTGACTACGGCAATTCTCTTTTTAGTAGAACAATTTTTTTATTTTTTTTATTTTTTACTTTCGGATCATCAGGACCATGCCTTTGCCCCCCCCCTAACTACGCCACAGGTTATGACAGGGTGTTAGCTGGCATTATGTAGCAGTTATATACGCACGTATATATGTAGCTGTCATTGCATGACTGAGGACACGCGAGAGAAGGGGAAGGGAGAGACACACATATGAAGACAGAGAGCGACCAGACAGCTAAGAAAGAAACAAAGAGAGAAAGAAAGAGAGAGAGAGAGAGAGAGCTGGACAAATAAGCCAGTTCGTAGTTAGCCAAGGGGTGTGTGACGTCACAGGTCATCAGGTCATTTGTGACAAAAATCCTTGAAATCTCGAGTGCGGCGTGCGCTCTCGGTTCAGTACGTATATGTACATGTATTATGTGTACGTGCACACGTACGCACGCACCCGTGCACACACACACGCACGCACGCATGTGTACGTGCACACGCACGCACACACGTGTACGTGCACACGCACGCACGCGCGCACACCCGCACGTGTATTTGCACACGCACGCACGCACGTGTACGTGCACACGCACGCACGCACGTGTACGTGCACACGCACGCACGCCCGCACGTGTACGTGTACACGCACGCACGCACGAACGAACGAACGTGTGTGTACGTGCACACGCACGCACGCACGTGTACGTGCACACTCGAAGACTGTAGCATTGTAACATGTATTTTGCACGTGTTACATGGATTAGTCAGTGGAGCTAGACTGGTAGTTGTTTTAGCCATAGTCTAGCTAGACAGAGCGTCGCGCAACAAGATGCGCGGCTACATTGATGTATTAGGGAGAATGGTAGACGTGGTTAGGTTAGACAGATTAGAGGGTCATTGTGAAATGGGAGGTAGGACGCGGTCTGTGAGAACGGTTACATGTGCGGGCAGTATGTTTGTAGGAGTTTTGGGGGGTAATAGATAGGACAGAGATGTAGGAAGGGGATTCGGGGTCTGGTCGCGGAAGGAGGCACACGCGCGTATGTGCGTGTGCGCGTTCCTTGTCTCTTTGTGCGATGTCGTCTACCCTACTATGAGATATTAAAGATTATTCCGGTTACTACAACAAGTTTGGCTTTCTATCATCATTCCTGTTTACAGCATTACAACGACACAGATGCATGCGTATGTGTACTGTGCGGTCGAAATACGAACTATTTTGTCACAATTAAATGACCTGACCCGGAAGAATTCGTTGCAAAGCTTGCGCATGCGCAGACTGTAACTACGAACTGGCTTATTGGGAAGCGGAATATGCCAGATACAAAATTATACAATACGTCCTTTCATGCATGTCTAGCAGTGCTTGCTATGCGTTCGTCAGCCATCTTGTGAGCTCACAGCCAAATCTCGAGACACGCAAAAATTATACTTCCACGCTCATGTACCTGTATTATCATGAGCTAATAATGACAAATTTGTCATTATTAGCTCCTGGTATTATGTATATCCATGCTCATGAACAACGATCATGTATGTATCGATTACTAGCGATATTGATCGGTCACTTCACCGCGGTCTCGTGTATGATATTATTTCTACCGTATCCTTTCATTATCACATCGATTCCCCATTTATAGATCGGTGTAACATCGGTACTGGAGATAACAGAATTGATAAAAAACAGTTTTACCATTTCAAAAATAACAACATTATATTTATGTCGCAACGCACTTGTGATGAGCGTTTTCATAAAAAAATCATTTCTTTTTTTACAGCTTACAATGTGGGAGCTTTTTTGAGAATTTGCATTGTGAATGAATCGTTTTTTTTTTGCTCGTTTGCTATAAACACTGGCAGGCTAAATCGATCGAGGGCCGAGTTCCTCATTCGTCGCAGGCTGGTACGAGAATAGTGTTGGTCCTATCGAACAGCTTCGAAGGCTTTTGCTGAATTGACACGTAGAAGGTTTCCTGTCGTAGCAGACCCAGGTCGCTGATCGCGCTCCGCGAAATCGCCCCTGGTGTCACGCTGCCGCACAGACGGAAGTAGCCGTCGTATCGAAGGCGTAAGCGACGAATCCCTCGGAGCGCGCAGAGGGGAACGTGCCGAGGGTGGAAAACTGTGGCTGAACGAACAAAATATCAGTGTTAGCATGATAAGACCACGTAGCTGTGAACAGACGCCCCCTTTCTGTGCCATGAGACAAAAATAAGTTGATCGGCAGATAAAGCCAACGGCGGCCAGATTTAATAGCTTTTTTCGAACCACTAAAGGTGCCAAGCCATCAGATTACGGATTAGTGAGGTTCAATCCATAGCGATAAGCGCACAGAACTTACAAATTTAGCGAGTAGGCGGGGCTTTCCTTTGAACTGGTCCGGAAGTGGCGTCATCATGCGGAACTCCTTGTCGCAGTTGCCACCGGTCTTACGCGTAACACTTAGAATCAAGGGACCCTTGGACTTAAAGTCGGGATCTCTCTTCTTCATTCCTGCAAAGGAAAACATCATCGTGTCAGTAAAGCCGCGGGCTAAAAACTCGCCACTAAAAACAGAAGTCTGTGCAAAGCGTGCTGAATGTGTCGTCACGTGACTACGCAAGGTCGTGGTCGCGACGATTCGATTCCAGTTCTTATTCAGATGGCGGCGCGAATACTCACTTATGATCGCGGAGGACTTCAGAACATCCGAATGCCTGGCTGGATGCTGCGGCCTCAGCTCGCAAATGTCGTCCAGTTCACGCGGTGTAGCCACAAGGAGTCGCCTCCTGGATACTCTGCTCTTCTCGAATGCCGGTTCGTCATAAGGTGGTAAGCAGGGTGTCATGGGAGTGCGTGGTGCCTCCTAATATACGCAGAGAGGGAGAGAAGAGAGAGGCAGGGGCAGGCGTGCATCAGCTCTGAGCGGGGCTATTCACTGTGTTATAAGACGTGCATGAGGAAGAACGTGGATACACGTACGCGCGAGCGAACACGCTCAAAACCAGCGCGCGCGCAACACAAACACGAACAACAGAGAGACGCGCACGAATAGTACGCAACACGGCCATACCACGCGTATATTATATATTATATATATATATATATATAATATATATATATTATATATATAATGCACATTACATGCACGCACAGCTCCTTCAACACAACACAGCACACGCACACACCAACATCACACACACAGCACACACACCACACCACCACATCACAACACACCGCAACAGCGGCGCGCCGCGCGCGCCTCTCTCTCTCTCTCTCTTGCTTTCTCTCTCTCTCTCCGTCTCTCTCTCATCTCTCTCTTCTCTTGTTCTCTCTCTCTCTCTCTCTCTCTCTTGGCTCTCTCTCAGGCTCTCTCCCCCCCTCCTTCTTCGTCTCTGCTCTTTCTCGGCTTCTCGCGCCCCTCTACTCTCTCTCCCGCGATGGAAACCTCTCTCTCTCTCTTTCTGCTGCTCTCTCCCTCCCCTCTCTGCCTCTGCTCCCCCTCTCTAAGTCTGCTCTCTCTCCTCTGGCTCTCTCTCTCTCTCTCGCTACGCTAGGTTGGTAAATCCTCTGGTAATCACCACGCCTGGCACACGCACCACGCCCCCGCGCGCGACAGCACGCACACATGCGGCGCACGCACACATCACAGGCGCGAACGTACGTACAACACACGTGACGCCAGACAAGCAACCTACCTTCCACGTTGTTAATCGACGTCCGCGGGCACATAGGCGGGCAATCCCAGTTTTGCAGCGAAGAACCAGATCTCGTTACGTCGCCTCCGATACCTGTGCATGGGTTCTGAAGCACACAAGAGCATACCTGAACATACTGGTTAGCAAGTGTTGTGTGTGTGTGTGTGTGTGTGTGTGTGTGTGTGTGTGTGTGTGTGTGTGTGTGTGTGTGTGTGTGTGTGTGTGTGTGTGTGTGTGTGTGTGTGTGTGTGTGTGTGTGTGTGTGCGTGTGTGTATGCGTTGGTTAGGTGGGACTGGGGCATCTCACCTGCTGTAGCGTGCTATGTAGAACCAGTCATGATCAAAGACCTCCTCGTTGGCCTTCAGCTTATCCGCCAGGTACTTGGCGTGAGCCAACTTGCGAATGCCTATGCCGGCTCCGCCGAAGTCCTTCACAAAGAATCGCTGAGCAGGGATATGATCCAGCTGCAGGAAAATAGAGCATTTCAGAGATTCGTTTATCGTTTACTTCACATTTTCTTATTTATAGCATCGGCAAAAGATAAGCAGTAATATGTTATGTAGTAATTATTCGTTTTTGACTCGTTCATTGTATCTAGTAATTATCTTCACAGCAGATAGAGCATAAGTTTCTCTCTCTCTCTCTCTCTCTCTCTCTCTCTCTCTCTCTCTCTCTCTCTCGTCTCTCTCTCTCTCTTCTCTCTCCTCTCTCACTCTTTTTCTCTCCCTCTCTCTCTCTCTCTCTCTCTCTCTCTCTCTCTCTCTCTCTCCCTCTGTCGATCTTTCTCTCCTCTCTCTCCCTTCTCTCTCTCTCTCTTTCTCTCTCTCCTCGTCTCTCTCTCGTCTCTCTCCTCTTTCTTTTTTCTCTCTCTCTCTCTCTCTTTCTCTCTCTCTCTCTCTCTCTCTCTCTCTCTGCTGTGCTTCTCTTCTCTCTCTCAGGCGCTCTCTCTCTCGCTCGCTGTTTTTTTTCTGCTCTCTCGCTCATCTCTCGCTATAGGCCCATATATTATAGGATATATTGTAAAGTATACTTAAGGATCGGGTGTGATAGAGTTGCGTCAGGTAAAATCTATGAGCGGAGAGTAGCTGTGTGGTAGTTAGGCTATAATCATTGCGCTGACTCTACAAAACGGCGCCTGCCTCTTTTTTATTTAGTATTATCAAGAGCATATAAAGAAGGTATATCTTTATATGCTCTTATGTGCGGGCATTCTTTCGCCACTTTATTCGCACTTCTTCGCACTTTTTCGCACTTATTCGCACTTTATTCGCACTTCGCGCTTCTTTATATGTTCTTGGTATTATATACCTCTCACAGAAAGGTATTAGAACTCACCTGACCTAGGCATATTACCGCATCCAGTGATTTTGCATTTTTCAATGATGTAGTGTTTTTTGGAGATTCTTTAGAAAAATTCTTAAATAAACAAACCAAATATAATAAAACACGACGTTTTTAATCTGTTATTTTTTTCATTTGCGTTCAGCGATCGAACTTACCTTGACGCTGGCATCGGTCGGCTCCGGAGCGTTGCCATGGTGACTCTTGGGCAGGAAAGCACCGATGCTGAAATCTCGCAGCTTCACGAAATTTCTGCCGGCGATGGCAGCCTTAATGACGTCTTTGTCACTGTGAACTTGCACGAGCAGCGGCAGGCCGAAGTGGACCGTCTCACCCTCAGCGTTGGCACCGTGGAAGTAGCTATTGCGAACAGAAATCACGATTATTACTATTATTATTATTATTACTATTATTATTAATATTGTTATTAATTGTAGTTTAGTAGTATAGTAGTAGTAGTAGCAATAGTAACGTGGAGCTGGTAAGCGGTAGTGGTAGTGGGTAGTGCGTAGGTGGTTGTGGTTGTGGTGTGCGGTGCGGGGGGTGGTGTGGTGGCTGGTTCGGTGCGTGCTGTAGTGGTTGTGGTATGGTAGGTGGTCAGTGGTAGGTGGTAGTCGTAGTAGTAGTAGTAGTGGTAGTAGTAGTAGTAGTAGTAGCTAGTAGTGCAGTAGTAGTAGTAGTAGAGTGTGGTAGTAGTAGTAGTAGTAGTAGTAGTAGTAGTAGTAGTAGTAGTAGTAGTAGTACTAGCAGTGGAGGTAGCAATAGTAGTAGTATACATCGTTTCTACGACTTTTTCTTAGATCTTGAAATTTTTAGCGATAATGTAGGCCCTATGTAAAAAATGACAGGGGTAAAATACTGCTGCTGCAACTCTGAGGAAGGAAAGCTCTCTTCCCGATAGACGGATCGGAGCGTCCATCGAAAGTCGGTAATGCGCAGTCACCATGAGTAGAATCGAAAACATCATCACTACACTCTCACGACGCTACACACTCGAGGCCAGGATTAGCCCACCGTACTCAAAGATCGTCACAGACACCACCTGGTGACGAACACGCACACGCACAGATAAACACACATACACACACACACACACACACACACACACACACACACACACNGAGAAGCTAGTGGAGAAAAGTAGCGGAGAAGGTGGTGTGCGAGAGAGGAAAGAGAAAGGGTTTGAGAAGGGCGAAAAGGTGGTGGTAGCAAGCGAGGAGGGGAGAGCCTGCCGTGTCGGAGGAATTGAAAAAAGGAGAGGGAGAAGCTAGTGAGAGAAGGAGGAGGTGGTGGAGAAGGCGTGGTGGTGAAGGTGTAGAGAAGCGGAGAGGTTGGTCCAGGGAGAACGGCACCTCGCCTGCCTCCTTCTCCACCACCTCCCTCTTCTCACCCACCTCCTCCACCAGCTTCTACCCCTCTTCCTTTCTCCACCAGCTTCTCCCCCTCTCTCCACCACCTTCTCCTTTCTCCCCCTCCTCCTTGCTCTCCGCCAGCTTCTCCGCCTCCTGTCTCCATCCTCGCGATGTACATCTGCCATTGGTATATAAGCACAAGAGGCGACGGTGACAAAGTATGCAAATTTTATCTCCTGTTACGGCCTGAATATAGACAAACCCATTCTCCGATTCGGCTGGTATCTGGCCGCCATCTATGAATTTTTAAATGGCCACCATCTAAATCCATTATTTGTTACTTTTAAGGCTATATTTCAACCATAGGCAACATGTATTTTGTGTTGTCTAACCAACATTATCGTCGGGTACAGAAATCTTTACTAATGCCAAGCCAAAGATCAGTATCGAGTTGGTGGCCGCCATCTTAAGCGTAATTGCACGTAACGTGGCGACGCTATTTGTGTAGTGTATTATTACAGCGGTTGAAAATTGCATGGTAGCCGAATAATTGGCGAAGGGAAATCAGTACTATGCTTTCGCTTGTACGGTTCGTGGTTACAGAAACTCAAGAACATCGGTGCTAAAAAGGAACGGAAGGTGCCAAGTCGCCACTTTTGGAAATCGTTTCATCGTCGGTCGTCCGTTCATCGCTGTGGCCGGGACGATGAGCGATGACGCTAGCGCCCCCCCCCGCCCCCCCCGCCCCCCCCCGGCCCACCCCCACCTCTCCTCACCTCCTCCCCTAACAGTTAGCGCCACGGTAACACGACAATGGTCTTCATTCTGAATTGCGTAAAACAATTGACAATAATATAAATAAATATAAATATGCTAAATGAATAAATAAATAAATAAATAAATTAAATAACATAAATAAATATAATAAAATAAATAACATAATTAAATAAATATATGTATATATATACTTATATCATAAATCACAGACTGAACATGTTATGCCAATACTACAAATTCTTATCTCTCGCGAAGTACACACGGTCAAATCGCTAGAGCTATCCTGTCTTTATGACTTCGTGAGACGTGCGTATATCAATTTACAGTATATGGTCATCGGATTAAGTTTTAGGGTGCAGGTCTGTGCTTTAGTGTTGGGTTTAGGTTAGTCCAGCCTTAAGGCTAGGGTTAGCTAATAATACTCAGTTGTGACTTATGAATTAGTTTATCGGGTGGAGGGTTGGAATCAGGAATAAGGTTATGATTATATATATGGGTTTTGGTTAGGGATTAGAGTGATAGGGTTGGGGTTATGATGATGATGTGTGATGATGATGATGACTATGAATTATGTAAGGAAACCTCAAGTTGGATTTGGCCGCAACATTGTACCACTATAGGTCCGGGCAATGGTTACTAGCAAACGAAGTACCAACGGTTGCCTCTGCGATGATACGCTATAGTATCAAGAATCCATAATAGAAAATTGAAAGTTAGATCATTTTCCATTATGGACTCTTGCTAGTATTTAACTATCTCTACTAAGCATCCATACTTACGCGGCAGGAGATTCGCTGTCTGAGAACAGGTGTTGCCACGATATGTGCAAACTCCTAGACCAAACGAACACGTGCATGTGCGCGCCTTTCTATTTTATAGCGTGGTTGGCCTCATCAGCGAATATCGCGTTTCAAGGCAAATGCGATAAGGTTTGCTCGAGCCATCTTCGGTCAAGTGACGCGTTACGTTAATAGCTAGAGAGCGATCGCGCATTTTTAGGAATTGCCAGAGATCACATCGCGAGCACATAAACTATAGCTGTTATTTGTGCTCTTTATTAGTTCATCATTGATGATGATGGGTGATGATTTGATGATTTTGATGGATGACTATTTGTAATACGAATATCTAAAAATGCTATTGCAGCCTCGGCCGCAACGGCGTTTTCCGTTCTAATGCGTACACAAAAATAGCGTTCGTTCCGTACATTAGATATAAATATTTACTCATTTTTTAATAATACTTCACTAGACTTCTCATGCAATGAAATAACCAGGCAGGAAATAGACCAGACAATCTGAATATGAGGACAGACGCGATTTCCGGCCAACATAATATCAAGAGCATATAAAGAAGGCCCTTCTTTATATACTCTTGATAATATATAGATCAATATAACCTTTTGATAATTTCACCAGTTTTGTCGAAAACCTTCTATAGTCCGCCCAATGAAAACTCAACTAGTTCAGTTAGGTTTTAAGCTGTGATACCTCGGCTGATAGCGTTCATCTGCTGGGATTATTAATTGTTACCTCCGCTAAGGTGTTGGCAGGCGTAGGCTATGTTTTTTTAGCCGCAGTGTGTTTTGTTCGGTTTCATGCCGCGTTTGTGGGTTTTGTGGCGTTTGTTTTGTGTACAGCCTAAAGCTGAAAAAGTTTATGGACGGATTGTCATAAATTTTTAGGATTAGTCCAAAGGCGCGCTAACTTAGAATTGATGAGATTTTAGTTGTAATCCGCGATCCAATTAATTAATTTAATTTAATTATTATTAACATTTGTCTTAGGGATTAGGTCAGAAATAGTGGTAACTTCAGAATTGATTTACATTTTTGGGTTGGTGATCCAGGATTCCAATTAATTTAATTAATTATATTTAATATTTAGATTATATTAATAAATTTTCAAGATACGTCAGAAATCGGGTACTTATGAATTTGATTACATTTCTTTGGTCGTCATCCGGATCAATTAATATTTAACTAATTAATTAATCTATAACATTTTTCACAGTGACAGAATTCAGCTTGCTCTTGGCTGAGGTCTGTGCTCTCCGTATTGTGCTCTAGTTTATTTATATACTATTTATAAGAAACTCTATAAATATAACTAAGGGCAGTGTATCCATATGCGCACGCTACGTACACACCGTGCCTCACACACACGCGCACGACTCGCACTTAGCGGCCTACACACACCTATGCGCGCGCATCCGTACACGCAACACTGCGCACAAAACGCGACAACAAATACAACTCACACTATGCGCAAAACACGCACACACGCACGCGCCACGCACACACATCATGGCACGCACACACAGACACTAACCGCGCATGAGATATACACGCCACGACACACACACACACGCACGCACACACACACACACACACTACACACACACACTTAACGCACACACACACCACACACGCACACACACTAAACACGACACTAGCACATCATCAACACACACACACACACGACACACACACAGCACACACAACACCACACACACACATCTACACATCAACACACACCACTACACACACACACACACTACGCACACACACACACACACACACAAACACACACACACATCCACACATCACAACATACACACACACACACACACACACACCACACGCACACGCACACCGCACACACACACACACAACACACTACACACACACATCACACACACACACACCACACACACCCACACACACGCGTACGCGACACACACTACACACACAATCGTTACTGCACACACACACACACACACACACGTACGCACACACGCACATAGATATATAAATATAATCGTACATCAAGGGCCGAAAATTTAAAAAAAAGAGCAACAGTATCCTGGGGAAAACAACCCCCGAACTTTCGAACACGAGGGAGGCACGCGTGCTTAGCAATCAATAGCCGCCATAAATATTATTTGCCAAACGGCGCGCTAGCCTAATTCCAAATGTCCCCGGCTACCGGCTGTTCGCTTTGAACTCTTCAATTGTCTGTAGCGAAGTCGCGTCTATAAACCGGACGACATCGCTTTCTAATTCGCGTGATCCGCGCCTGACCCGAAATCAGAGTAAAACGTCTGTCCGCCCACGCCCATGCACTACGACCCTAGCTGGGGACGTGCCCATGCAGCTACCATACGCGACGTCATCCGGGTACGTACATCCGGGTACGTACATCCGCCTGCTGTTCTCGCGCAGACACCAGACTTAGCCCGACCAAATCTTGTCTGTCGGCAAAACCCTCATCGCACTTGTCTAAATATTCGATGTAGCGAACGAGACCGCCAGCTGTACGATGTCAGTGGTCCACTCGTGGGTAATTTTATGCAAACTGACCTCGGCCGACCATGGGCATCCGTTCACCATGTCACCTGGCTCCGATCCGCTCCATAATAGATAATAAAACTATAATAATAGATTTCATCTTCTTTATGGAGCTCTTGATATGCTATTATATGTATGTGTATATTATTATATATATGTATGTAGTTATGCAGTCAGCTCGATAACTCCTCAGGATAATATATATATAATATATTATATATATATACATATATATATCGAAACCGGGCGAAATGTTAGAGAATGACTACTATATGAGAGATAGATAGATAAATAGATTAGAGATGACGTCGACATGTCAGAGGAGAGTGTACGAGAACCTGTCTTAGACTGTTCGACTCTCGTGATCATGGACTCTGATGCTTGCTGATTGAGAACCCACGCTCGGCTTTGACCCGGGACCGCAGATAAAGAGAGGAGAGCGAGAGAGAGAGATGAGATGACTGAAGAGAAGGTTGAGAGATGATGAGAGAGAGATAACGAGAGAGAGAGAGATGATGAGATGAGATGGAGAGAGAGAGAGCAGAGAGAGAAGAGCAGACGAGAGAGAGAGAGAGAGAGAGGGAGAGAGAGATTTAATTACACAATTTTATACACGATAATTAGTGTATCAATTTGTCATGTTGCGTGCTCGAGTTATCTCCGACATAGTTTTCGTAACCTGGATAAATACATGGAGAGCGAAAGTCAACGAAAAGGGGGAAACAGACCTCAAAGATAACCCTACATGCCAACTTACACCAACTTTCCTCTTTCATTCTTAGTTCGCCTTGGCGCGGAACCGCTAGCCGATAAAGATTATTTTAGCGCAGGCACGTACTGGCATGTTTTTAGGTAAAAAACGTATCCGGGTCGATAGCAATAAAGATATAATAATAATATCACACATTTTGACCTACCCCGGCCAACCTGATTTGGCAAGTAGACGTGCTCAAGGCTCAATGTCCTGAATTAATGTATTCACAGCGTAACATAATGCATACATTAAAAACACGCGAGAAGGAAGATTCAAGAACCGGTGACGGATCAACGTCATTATACTTACCTAAAGTGCGAATCCTGAATGGTAAATTATAGCTTAAGCTAACAATGCATGGTTGTTAAGGAATAGATCTATGATGCACAAAGTGTGTCCCGAATTGGCGCGTCACACAGGTTCATTCGAGTGGATTCTCTCACACAAGGATGACTGAATACGTGACGATACAGAATCCTAACTATTGGTAATTAAAAAAACGACATGAAAGTTCCGCGCTTACATCTGCCTAGCTTCTGCCAACTGCTCTTATTATTCTTATTAACTGATCTCTTCAACTGATCC